GGATTTTGTTCCCCTTTCTTTTGCTCTTGTTCTTAACAAGGCCCCCTCATATTCATTATAGGCTGTCCCAGGTGAAATGGTTGTCAGAATATGCAGTGTCTTGGCAGCTGTTAGCTGCGTCGCTGCTTGCTTAGCTTCCATTCCTTGGATCGTGGGTCGAGAGGATGAGGCAGCAAAACAGCTGCCAGTCAAATAGGGGGCTGTCAAAATATTTCCAGCCCCATGGTGAGAGCGTGGAGAGACAGCTTTTGCTTCCTAGGGTAAATGTGGGCAGAATGACATGTTATTTCAGCAGGTGTGTGTTCCTTACCTGTGCTTGTTTAAATTACACAGAGGAACCCAGTTTGGGGGATGAATTTATGGATGAGGCGAAAGGGTGCTTAACCAATTCATCGCTTGCTAATTCTCCCTCATAAATCCCTCCTCCCCGCCCCACCTGTACAGTATTTTCTGTTCTCCCCAAGCTGAACTCTACATTCAGAGGCCAACTTGGGGAGTGGTTTTTTGTATATATTATTTTATATTCCACCTGTCTTCCCTGTTTGGATTCAGAGCAGGAGATAGGCTTAATTTCAGTAGGAACCCTCTGGCTTCAAATGATGTGTTGGGTTAGATGCAGCAGGGAATTGACAGGGAAAGGAATGGTGTTTTGAAGTTTCTGCATACTTTGGTAAAGATAGCCTGCAGTAGAAAGGAGAGGCTCCATTTCAGCTTAGCAAAGAAACAAGAAAAGCCTCTCCATTATTAAAACTCAGCAAGACACAAGTCAAGCAATGAAAGTGAACTTCTGTAACTACCTTTGGTGGATTCTGTGATCTTTTAATGCATCTTCCTCTTATTGTTACTGCTTGTAAAATTGTCCAAGGGTGAGACGCATAGAAATAGTCACCAAGTAAGTTCTTTGCTGACTCGGACCTTCCTGTTTAAGCCAAGAGGGAAGGATAAAGTATTCAGTACTTCATAGTGTATTTATAAGCAGCCACAATTTGTATACAGTACTTATTTTCCTGGTGTTGAATTTAAAAGAAACAGACTAATTATCTGTAATTCCAGTATTCCAGTTTATCACGCTCTACTGATGTTGCCAAATGAAATCATATGAGTAAAAACCCTTTGTTTAGGATAGTCACTGAGGGATATAGGAGGAAAGTGAGTTAGTCCGTAGTACCCCAAAATCAGGAGGAATCTAGTAGCACCTTCTCCGACTAACAAATTTTATTAAAAAGTGTATGTTTTGTGAGCTGCAGCTTACTTCATTGGTTGCATAGAGTGGCTAAACTGATTAGGATTTAAATTGGAATGAGGTGGGGGGGGAACAGGGTGGTTATGCAGAAGCAAGTTACATGTGAGACAGATTACAAGTACCTTCCCCCTTAACAATTGTAATGTGTTAAAAACCCATTGTGTTTGTTGAGTTCTTCCGAGATAGCCTGAAACCTTCAACAGTCTCTTGCTCAATTGTGCTGGTAAAGTTTCTTTGTTTTCCAAAATGATTACTTGCTTTGTGCTAAGGAATTTTCTTCCTCCTCCAGCCCAGGAAGGCAAAGGAAAAAGCAGATTCCTTGTTTTCTTCTTTCTCTCTGACACTTCACTGATGATTTTCCAAGTCTAGATGGACAATCCCAAAAACGACAGCTTTGTTTTCTTTTGATTTGCTAAATTTCCCAGCGACCAGGTAAAAAAATCCTTGCTAGTTCCAGAATTAGAGGGGGAAGAAGAATTCCTGCCAAGCAGGAGGACTCCTCGGCTAAGGAACATGGTTTTTCCTTTCTTCCCTTCTTTCTTCAGAAGAAACTACACCAGCTTCCATCACACCTAACTCAGCAGACAATGGCAGATGTATTTTTGCATTAATTGGTCCATGGTTTAAGTTATCACTAGGAACCCAATCTGCAAACTCTCCTGAAGTTTGCATCCAAGAGTTCTCTTCAGTACCTTTTGGGAGTGGTTTCCAATTCTGTGTTTATCTGTGTTTCTCTATCACTCTTAGTCTTTTTTTTCCATGACTTCTAGGCAGACTCCTGTAACTACCAATATTATAATTTATTTTCTTCACTGAATCTTGCGGCAATATTGTTCTTAGTGCTCAGCTTAATGCTTAATTATTCTAATTCTCCTGTTTAGTAACATATTCTGTTTATGTGCTATTCCAGTTCCACTGATGAATTCATTTTGGTTCTTCTGTAATTAAAAAAAACAAAAAAACAACTACCACTTTCAGAGCTTTGACTGTGGTCTTTTGGGTGGCAGATTTTTACTAGGTATCCATGGTCTGATAGATAGATAAATTGCGGGGGGGGGGGGGGGCGTAGTCCTTGTTTAGTGACCACAATTGGGACCAGCAACTCGGTCATTAAGCAAAGTGGTTGCTAAGTGAAACCGTGACTGTGATTATGATCTTCAGCCTCCCTTTGCTTTACAGACCTGTGAAAGTCATAAATGTGAGGATTAGTCATAAAGTTACTTTTTCATCACCTTTGTAACTGTGAACAGTCTCTAAGTGAGGCAGTCGCTGAACGAGGACTACCTGTATATATATATAAAACATATATTCATGTACACAAGTAAAGATACTTGATAATAATGATTAGGATTTAGGGGTAAGTATTTTTTCCTCTTTCTTTCTTATTCTCTCCTGCAAATGCATGCCTAACTCCTGCATTTGTGCCACTATATGGCAAAGGTGAGTGGGGAACTGCATTGCTCCCTTAATCTGAATTTCTTTGCTCCAGAATATTCAAGGAAAAAACAGGGCTGTGGAGCAAGATTGTGTTTTTCTTAGCAACTGCTTTCACTTCCTTGGGAATGTCCACCTCTCACATATGAGAGCCATGGATTATAGAATGTGACTAATCAGATTATCTTTAAACCCATTAACTGACTCTACAGGCATAGGTAAAATACTCCTAGAATTCTCATTAGCAAGTTTTGTGGATGAAATAGGTCAATATTTTCAGAAGGCTGTCTCTGCCTTACCCATGGGCTGCAGGGTATAATTATTGAAATATAAAATGAATTTGCAACCTCCTGGGATATATCTGCTACTATAATAGCCAGGGATTTCATTGCTACTATTTATGATAATTAATGTATTGCAATTCTCTACTCCTCTGAAGCAACTTTCAGGGGAAAGGCATGGCAAGCTAGATATTTTGAAATAAAGCCAGAAGAAACATTACAGTTGCCTAGAAGACATCAAGGGTGCACATTTTGTAACCAATTTTCTGCAAGCCTTCGCTACGGGCAAAAGAGTTTTGGGTGTCCAAGGGTTAATTCCAGCGCTGGAACTTCAGTGCAGAGGTTAACCCCTGTTGCTTGTATAAATATTTGCCATTGGGTGTGATCTCTACATTATCCCTGCTCTGATCATCTGATGGGGTCTTTGGTTATATAAACATGACCGGCTGGAGTTGATGCTGGGGTTCTGAGTAGTTAGCATTAATGGTATAATGATTCTTATCCAATAATGGTTATTTACTTGACACTTCAGGTGATTTTTATCCAGGAGGAATAAACCGTATTTAGCAAGAGGCTCATTTATGGAACCAGAGATAGATTTCCTTATTTTTCTGCCAGTGTTTTTTTTTTCTTCCCCTCCAGTGGCCTATTGCTAGTTCAGAAGTTCCTAAGATCTTGAATAGTGTCAGCTTGTTCATTTGAACAGACTGAAACAGTGGGAACTGAACATGTCTCACCCTCTTTTAGCTTCCAAAGGATCCAGAGTGTTCTTTAGCAAGAAGGTACTCACTGAGAGCAGGTGGAGAGGGCATGAGGTTTGAGGAGCAGAGGGTCACATGCGCAAGGGCCAGCAAAATAGCAAATAATAAGTTCCAGGAAGATGAAAACCATCTGTTTAGATCACCCTAAAAATATAGTGCAGAGAGGAGAGGGAGCTAGTACCACTCGGGGAGACATGTTTGTGCCACTTAGTTGGGAAGTAAATGTGTGCAGACAACGTGCATATGATCTGGATTCCATGACCCCAAAAGGGACATTCTGTCATTCCTGTGGGAAAGATTCCAGGAAGAAGGGCCTCTTCAGTCAAATTTTCCTTTCCTTCCACACCCCACTCTTACTCTTATCACCACATGCTTTGTGGGAAGGGTTCAAATAATAAGTGGTAACTTATTATTTGACTGACTAACTTGTAAGTAACTTGTACACAAACATTTTCAACACATTGGGAACAACAAAATGTCAAACTTTCAATCATAGTTATGTGGTCTTACATTCAGCCATGGCACAGAAGTCAAAGGAAGGGAGGAGAAAAAGAGTATCCTGCAAGCCCCTTTGTGTATCCAAAGAGCATAGGGAAAGGAAATTGAGTCAGTGAGCTAGTTCAGTTTTGCTGATATTTGTCCTCAAAACTCATCTTTCCATGAAATTCTGTTGTTCCCTCCTCTATTTATGCATGGATCTTCACCATAGCTCCGCATCTATGATGAATTTGTAAACTTGGAAATAATAGCATTCAGGCTGTCATATGAGGTCCATTCCTCCTTGTTGGTGCTGCTGGAAACTGCCCTCCCGCAAGGGTGGTGCTGAGCTGAACACAGACCAACTGATGTCAGGCTTGGGCGACAGGCCAGTCAGTCAATTCCTGTCACAACTTATGGATCAACAGCCATATACAATGTCATGGCAGGACCCTGAAATGGTGTTCGTTGATCCGAAAAGCAGACCCTGCACTGGTAGGAAAATGCTAGGAGGAGGAAGAAGAGGAAGGGTGTCATATGAGAAACAGAGTATTGAACTTAAACATTGGATCTAGTTTAATTGCCTCTTTAGTGGATAAATGTCTTTTGTGAAATTTCAGCCAGCAGCTTTCAAGCACATGCTGTTAGTTACCGTGCTACATTTTCTTCTCTTATCTGACTAAAACTCCAACATGCTTCTTTCCAATGCACTTTTTGCTAGTATACTTGGTTTAATGTTATAGTCCAGTTATCTTCGTCGTTTACCTTTTTTTTGGCATGACTTTCTCATTGCTCCTTTTGCAGGCACCATTCGCCCAGTGCGGCGCAGCTATTATGACCCCTCTTCAGCACCAGGCAAGGGTGTAGTATGGGAATGGGAGAATGACAACGGCACCTGGACCCCCTATGACATGGAGGTGGGCATTACCATCCAACATGCCTATGAGAAGCAGCACCCCTGGATCGATCTCACTTCCATTGGCTTCTGCTACATCATTGACTTCAGCACGATGGGGCAGATCAATCGCCAGACCCAACGCAAGCGCCGTGTCCGCCGCCGCCTTGACATGGTCTACCCGCTTGTCACAGGCACCTTGCCCAAATCTCAGTCATGGCCAGCGAGCCCTGGTGCGGCCAATGTGTCTCCAGCTCCGGCCTGCACTTGTCCACAGTGTCTTCTTGTCATGAGTATCAAGGCAACAGTGGCAGCTGGGAGCAATGGAGGAACTGGAGCTACAGCTAGCCAGCAGCCTCAACCACCACCACCACCACGTAAAGCTGTCTCCCTTTCTGGTAGCACCAAAATCCCCATGCCAGCATCAGTTCACAAGCCGCAAGATGGAACAGCCACTATGCGCAGCTCTTTGAAGACCCTTGCATCCCAAGTGAGCCGAAGGCAGGCAGTTAGCACACCTGCCCTCACCGCAAGCAACTCCCCTGCCAGTCCTCCTAATGCCAATGGCAAAGTGACACGGGCCAGCCTTAATACACTGAACCGAACCAATCTGCAGCGCCTGGCCATTGCACAGTCTCGTGTGCTAATTGCCTCAGGGTAAGCACTCGTTCTTTTTGTTGTTTATGCCTTCAAGTCAATGTCGACTCCTGGCAACTGCCTGGACTAGTCCCTGGAGTTTTCCTGCAAGGTTTTTGCAAGTGGTTTGCCATTGGCTCTTTTCTAGAGCTGAGAGAGAATGACTGGACCATTCTCGTGCTTAAGGCAGGACTAGGACTCACAGTCTCCCGTTTCTAGCCTGGTGCCTTAACCACTACACTAAGCTGGCTTTCAAATACTCATTTACCACTCTTAATTCTACTTCTTGGTGTTCCTCCTCCTTTTCATATGGGGGCATGTAACATGTGCCCAATGTCGTTTTACCATTGTCCCTATTTAGACCATGAGAAGGGAGAAAGACATCTCTATTCCTGGAATATTGCAGATGAGCTTTCCCCAATTTGATCCTCTCTAGATGTAATAGATTAGGGTGACTGTGGAGGTACACAGGAAACATGTAATACAAAAGATTTGGAAGATACCTAGTTGAGGAAGATAATGCAAACAAATTATGAATCAAGTTAAATATTTGAACATAGGAAACATTCTGCGTGGATTACAAAGTGTGGTTCGGTTTTGTGAAACCTCATGAAGAGGAACCCTTAGAGATGTTCTGCGTGATGTTAAGCTGCAAAATTTTGAAGAATGATGAATAGGTGCTTTGGGAGTAGAAAGAAAGAAAGACTTCTGATATTTTCTGACTGGGGAAACTCTAGGCTGTAGTGTTGTAAGACAGGTTTATCAGAAAAGTAGGACATAACTGGGGAGCTCTGAAGCAACAAGTGTCTGATGGTGAAACAGAAGTAGGTTGTTCATAAATATATCCCAGCCCAAATATCAGCAGGATAGAAAATTCCTAAGGAAAAGCTGGGACTGACATTGGCTGACTCTCCCCCATCAGCACCACTCAGTCACCCTTCCTCTGTTCAGCAAATCCCACAGACCCTTTGAACCATAAAACGGAGAAGCCTTAAAGCCCCTTTTGAATGTTAATGAGGAAATGAAACATTCTTCTTTACCCTTCAGCTCTGGGGTGGGTTCCTATCAAAAGGCCTATACAAAGTTTTTCAGGCTGCTGCCCAATCTGGAAGGTACCCCATCCTCAGCATCCCCCTCCTGCCAGGCCTCCCTTGACCAAAACACCCTTTCTTGGACATCTAATTAGCGTGTTCCTTCTCTTTTGTATGATTTTGCCATCGGCCGTCTGTTGCTGGTTGCTCCCCCCTCTGCCCATGACCCTTCTCAAAGACTTTCCCATGGAAGAGAGCAAGGGAGGAAGGGGCCAAGGCGATGTTTCTCCAGAACAAAAGGCTCTGTGAATAACTGGGATACACAACCAAGGTTTTTAAAGAGCTGAATGAGGAGAAGGCAGGCGAATAGGGAGGGCGGGACATGCCTCTCTCTTCAGATTAGAGGATTCTCTGTCTCCAGCTAGCCCCTTGATCTGTAACTACAGCAACTATTGTCCAGTTAAAAAGGTGCCCCACTTTGTGTCTATCTCAGTCCTTGCTGTCTCATACGTCCCCCTCTATCCCTATTCCAGAAGTCTTGATAATGGCTGTGCCTCTGTCTCAGGAGTAAATTCAAGATTGTTCACTTTTGAAAGCAGGAGCTTGTGACTGGGATGTGATACTTTCTTGTGTTACAAAGTTAATGTCAAGGTTTTATCAGAGAAGGTTTGGAATAGCCCAAAATCATGCAGGCTTATATGGGCTGGTTTGGTTTCTGCTGGTCTTGTACAGCTGGCAGACTGAGCACAGATTGTGTGGTGCACATGGCTTCTAGTTAAAGTGAGGATGTTCCATGAGAGTAAAGCTTGATCTTGCAGGAAAATTCTCTGATGAGCAAACAGGGTCCCCAAGGGTAGCATGTGGACACATTCTAAGAAGAGCCTTTCCCAAGCTGACTGCAAATTTTAGAAGTTTGTGGTCAATTTATATGGAGGACACAAAGATGAGGAAAGTTTTTCTGAAAGCATTGTGGGTCTATGATATTATTTTTCATACTGTGCTCCCATTTTATGCTATAGATTATTTTTCCTACCTTGAGTGGACAAGAAGTCTTGCTCATGTCTTCCTCCAAAAGAAACCCAAAACATTTTTGAAAGCCATTCTATGCATACTTCCTTCAGTATCCATTTGTACATGTCGACATGGTTATCAGCCACTTCTTGCATCCTGCCAGAGTATATTCAAGAGTAGGTAAAAGCCTTGGGATCAGCTCAAGCATTCTGGGTCCAGCAGTGGCCAACAATTTTGATTGAGGAAACTCACAAGAATGGACAGGAGAGCAACAGTTTTCCTTTCACTATTGCTGTCTAGAAGCTGATATTTGAAGTATGCTGTCTGTGGTTCAGATTGTAGTAAACAGCCATCACAATTAATAGTAGTTGAGAGTTCAGTCTTTTATGCATCTGTATAGTTCCCTTTTAAAACCATCAGATTTGGTGGCCATCACCATGTCTGATGACAGCAGATTCCATTGTGCACAGGTTTGGTCTATATGCCAGTCTGACTGTCAGTGCATCAGCAGAATTTGGGTGGTTGGAGATCCACATCAAAGTGAGTGAGTGCATGAAAAAGCTCTTCATGGGCAAATTGGTATAAATCTATGGGTAGGCACCTGGATGTTTTAGTAAGATAATACCATCCTAATTAGGGGCAGAAGGTATAACCCTTAGAAAAATTCAGCACTGAGAGTAAGATTAGGAGGAGGAAGTATCCTGAAAACTTCTTCTCAAAAAGATTGTTTCCTATTGTTCCCGTGGCCTGCCAGCCCCTAAAAGGTGATCCTGTCTGTCATTCGGGTAGGCAGATGATCGTGGCTGGAAGAATGAAACCAGGCATGATCATCTGCCTGCCCGAATGACAGACAGGATCACCTTTTAGGATGGGAGAGCCAGTAACTATCTTCTCAGTCCCTGTGCACACACGCCTTTAAGGGTCACATGCCTGTCACAACCACTGACTTGCCTATTGACCAAACCAGTCCTCCTGTCTCTGTTACACACCTTCTTTTCAAAGATCCACTCGCTTGCTTGCCTCTCTCAGACTGGGAGAGTGTTTGTACCTCAAGCTGCTAACAACCAAAGACAGAGTTGTAACCTGCCAGGTGGGAACACAAGGCCTGGTACCTTTTAGGGTGTTAAAGAAACCAGTCCAGGAATCAAAGCATAGACAGAAACTTCTCTCTCCCCTCCATGTAGCTTCTTCTTTGTTCTCATACTGTCTCCAGAGATTCCAAGGTTTATTTTGAGGCCTGTTCATAGTCTCCTTCCATGTATGCTTAATTCTCAAAGACTCCTGTTTTACTGAGATGCAGAATCATTTTCTAACCACCTCCGATAACCCGTATTTTTATTCTCTCATAGAGTCCCAACAGTTCCTGTAAAAAACCTCAACGGCTCAAGCCCAGTCAACCCTGCACTAGCAGGTAAGGGGACCAAAAATCCCAGGGGACCAGAGTTACCGTTAATAGCTCTTAATTGACTTAAATGAGGGATCCTTGAGTGTGACGGCATTTTGAAATCCTGACTTCAGCAGGGTTTTACCAAGATATGGTGATGGAAGAATGGTGGGAGAGCCAGTTCTTTGAATTTATTCAAGAAGTGGAAGAGGTATGCTGAGCAGGCCCATGAATGAAGATACAAGTTGTGTTGAGGAACAGATAAAGGAAGATGACGGTGATGTTCTACAAGATGGGGTGTACAATGCCCATGACACTTGGGGATAGATAGAGGCTTACAACACATCTAAAGGGTAGGAGTTTAGGGAAAACTAGTGTACACTGCCATAGTGAGGGAGTTGGGCTTTAACAGAGAAAAAATATTTATTTTAACTCTAAGCTTTTAAGCTCAACCACCTTATTGTCATGCACATTAATCAATGTTGATAATCGTAATGCATGCTTTTGAAGCTTGAATGTAAAAAAATCTTAGCAGTCATGCCTTCCAAATGACTTGGATTCCCAAACCCTGAAACCAGCATGGCATTTTAGTCAAACGTATCAAGAGGACATGACATTGCAAAAGGCTTGTCTAGATTTCTGACTTTCTTTTTCCTTTAAAGCATTATAAAAATTGGAAGTGGCAAACAGGCACCCTGCTATCCCTGCACAAATGGGTGAAAGCCTTGCAGACAAAACAAAATTCTGGCCCATAAGTGTAAGAAGGAAATAAGGCAAGAAAGAATCAGTTTCCAAATGCTCTGCCCTCCCTCTCCTGTCAGGAATCACAGGAATACTTATGAGTGCTGCAGGGCTACCTGTCTGTCTGACTCGACCTCCAAAGCTGGTTCTGCACCCCCCTCCAGTCAGCAAGAGTGACATTAAATCCATCCCTGGGATCTCCAATACTTGCCGTAAGACTACCAAAAAGCAGACCAAGAAAGGTAAGAATGGGAGGTTCTCTGCTTCCTGTTGCCTTGCATCATTCGAATTGCATAACTGGAAGGGGCGGGTGTCCAAAATATACAAACCCATAACCAGAAAGAATGTCCATTGTAACTTACTCAGACATCATACCAAACTAGATTTTGTGCTGACTGAAGTTAGAAACCAAAACACTGAGGCGCCAGTTTATTGTACCTATAAAAAAAAAAAGCAGGTTAAACTTGCTGGGTAAACACCTGCATCTTCTCTCAGCTCATTCATTTTCTGCCAGAGTCAGTACCTAGCTGCTTACGACTTTTGGCAGAGGGATATCATCTATTCTGATTCTCAATTATTATTGGCTGGCTACTTCGGGAGGGTGACAGTATATTCCTGTCTTTGCAGGCCTCGGTCTATGGACCTTTCTTCCTTCTCTTCTCTCCTGGTTTCTTGTAACTATCACCCAGACTGTTCTATAGCGTTTTGTTCTCCTGCAGTGCCCCCTCCCCACTTCCATTTTGCTATCCCATCCACATGCGTGGCTGTATCCGTTGATGGTTGGACAGCGGCAGATATCCAACCAGTGTCCTTCCAAAACATACTACTGGATAACTCCCATCTGCTGCATTACCTTACACATGTTCCCAGCAGATGACTTGCACGCATCCGCCACTGCCTCATGCTTTCCCAGCCAGCTGTAGTGAGCATGATGTACTGCACACTCTCTCTGGTATGTGGCTTTTCCTTTTTAAATTGTCCTTTCTCCAGAGGGCATCATATCTGCTTGACAAGTAAGCCTTACTTCCAGGTGACGATGGAAGAAAAGAGAAGTTAGAAGCCTGACTAGTTTCATTGTTGTCCCTTGTGTATCTGTAAAGAACGTAGAAGCACAGACAGTCATTAGAGTGAGGGCATAAGTTCACCGCCAGCCTTCTTAAAATGCCACAAGGGCAGATACACTCCCCATGCTCCTTTCATGATAAAGAGCTGAAGCTTAAATTATGCACTGTAGTCTGTTATCAGTTGAGTGAGTGCCATCGTTATCGACCCTGAGCAACCACATAGCTAGACCTTCTCCAGGATGATCTGTCCCCAGCCTGGCCCTTCAGATCTTCCAACAATGGACTCATCATTGCTGTAATCAAGTCCAGTTACCTTGCTCTTCTTTGCTTTCCTTCCACCTTTATAGATTTCTCAAGGGAGCACATACAGAGTACGTTTTCTTTGTCAGGTATTTAGAGAATTGCATACATCAGGCATAGGGTAAATAGAGGTGGGTAATCTGTGGATATCATGCAACCTCAGGTTCCATCTTTGATCACACTGCCACCATTTGATAACAAAATAATAAAGGCAGGTTATTATTATTACAGTTTCCCACCTTTTAAAGGGGTAATGTTGTATATTAGTACTGTATTTTAATATTGTAAAGTTATGGGTCGGCAACCTTTCAGTAGCTAGTGTCCATATAATACTTTGTAGGAGAACAAGAGCTTGGAATGGGGGAGAGGTAGAATTATATAAAGTAGGTGAAGAGATGTGGCACATGTAGTTGGAGCCACATTTTTCTGGTTCTTTTCCCAGATTTTGGGGTTTTTCTTTGGTTTTTAACTGCTAAGCCTATTTTTGACTTATACTTCACTCCATGAGTATTTTTTTACCTCAGATGGCAGACCAGTTTTCAGCTATTGTGGTTAGAGAGTGCTTTGAAAGCCACAGAGAGAGGTTTGAGGCAACTCTTGAGACCTTAAGTTGTTCACTCCTGCAATAAACTTGGTTGGGTTAAAATTCTTTCCAGAAGCTGGAAAAGAATGGGAAAAGTGAGAAATTATGGCTTTGCTTAGTTATGTGATGCAGCCTCACCTAAGAGATGCCCTTCATAGCCAGAAAAATGTCAAAAAGTGAGCAGAAATATAACCATGAAAGCATCATCTGTCCCCATTCTACAGGATTCCATTGTCTGTGCTCTGCCCCAAGATGATATATTTCCTGTTCTTAAGAAAGGATAGAGATTTTTTTTTTTGGTCAGATTAACCTGTTGTAGTCTTTGATTGTTAGTTTGTTTATGCATTGAAGACAAAGGCATTTTTTCCTCAGGGCCCTGGGCAAAGATTGTTCTATAAGCTTTCTTTGCTGTCTCCTCAGTACAGAGTTCAGTTACTCATCCATGCAGTTGCACACAAAGGCTCTGGGCTTTATATCTTCCTTTATAGAGTTATACTCCTGAACGCAATAGGGAGGCTACAAGTCCAAGGGCCATCACGTGAACGAGTCAGGCTTGGAACTCCCTAGTCTGACTCTTGTTTGCAGCCACCCTTCCTCTGGAGGCACGTCCAGGAATATTGCAACATCACAAGGAGACACAAACTGGCTGTTCCATACTGTGGGAGGGTTGTAATTTCTGACTCACTTTGGAGTCTGACCGGGTTGGTGGGATGATTTAAACTCCATTCTTTTTCTTGTTTCTTACTTTTTTTTAGAGTTATAGATATGATAGTCTGTTTAAGATTAAAACAAGCACATGCTTTCAGAGCCCTGCTACCCTGGTGGTTCTTAGCAAAAAAAACCCTACCCTGCTATCCTAAGAAAAGGTTCTTAGCAGTTACGCCCCTTCCTCGATCAGGAGGCCCTCTGCACGGTCACTCATGCCCTGGTCACCTCCCGGTTGGATCGCTGTAACGTGCTCTACGTGGGGCTACCCTTGAAGAATATCCGGAAGCTACAGCTGGTGCAGAATGTGGCGGTACGGACAGTTCTGAATGCCCTTAGGAGGGCACATATAACACTGCTGTTACACGAGCTGCATTGGTTGCCAGTTTGCTTCTGGGTCTAATTCAAGGTGTTGGTCATCACCTTTAAAGCCCTTCATGGCACAGGACCAGATTATCTGAGGAGCCGTCTCACCCGGGTTACTTCACACCCGCCCCACTCGGTCCAGCAGAAGGGGCATGTTGCAGACCCCAC